CATTTATTGATTTCTTGTTTTGTCAGCTGTCTCTTCCCCACTAAGTTATTAGCTCCAAGAGGGCGGAGTTTGTCTGTTTTGTTCACCAGTGTATCACCAGCATTGGAATAGAGGCCAGCATTAGAAGGACATCAATAATTATTAGTTGAATGAATGAATGAGTGAATGAATGAAACAGGTAACGTCTTACGCTCTGAAAAATAAAAAATGACTAATATTTCATGTCCTCCAGGGGCACATAGGCTACTTGGGCCTGCAGCCTATAACCTGACACAATTAGTTAAAATACCAAGTGAGAGTGTTAAGTGCATGGGAGTGAGGTTGGCCCAAAGGAACACGAATATCGTGATAGCTATCAGTGCCCGAAAGCGGCCTACGCCAGCACCATCCTGGCATCTCACATGCATCGTTCATTACTCTTCATACCCCCTCTGGAGAGGGTGGGGAAGAATGCACAGAGGAGGTGAGACTCTGATGAGGTTTGGTAGGCAATCCAGGCAGAGGGATCTGCAGAGCCGCTGGGGCATGGAACCACATGGGCTGCTGGAGGACTGACTCTAAGCCTATGATCTGATGGGTGGAGCCCGGGGAGCTGCAGCTGGCAGAGATGGCATTTGGTGTGGCTAGAGAGTCCCTATCCATCAGGCCACGAGCTGCCCATTTGCTCAGGGCCCTGCAGCAGGAACACATATGGAGAGTGTCCGATGACAACATCCGATTCACAACCAGGCAGCCAGGGCACCCATGTGTCAAGTGACTCACTGCCATTTTTTCCAGGTGGGCTAGAAGTTCACACCGCCCTTAATGCTTAGTTCTTGGAAGCCTGCTCCCTCGTTCCACTTCTTACCTGCAATTCTGAGATGTTGCCCATACCACCTCTAGACCCCATTCTACAAACTGTTGAAAACTATGCCACACCCTACCCCCCACGTCACCCTCTCCTTGCCTCAATGTAAATAGTGAGAAATAACCTATGGCACTGAGCCAATGGGTTCTCTCTCAAGAAAGACCCAATTGATCTAGTGCAAGGAGAAGTCATAAATATCCCAGTTTGCTGCAGTTGAGAGGAATTTACCACACAGCAATTAAGGAAAACTGGTCGCCTGTGGAGGAAACATTCAGACTCCCAGTGCAGAATTCTGAGGTAAGTCCACTGCCAAGTCCCTGAATCATAAATGCCAGGGACAGGGGATTTTAGGGAAGAAGCCCTGGGCTCGTAAAGGCCTCCCTCACTCAGGGGATGTGATTCTCACACACAGGAGAATATGGTAGAGGCCAAAGCTCTACCCACCAGATTTCTGTTGGTTCTTTGTAAGAGCTTTCATTGTGGAAGGGTGTCTCGAGGTTGTACGTCACTGGAGGAATTCAAGCAGAGAGTGAATACATCCTTCCTTGGAAGGGAAGCAAGCCTTCGGGGTGCAGATGGACAGGGTAGAGTATTGTGGGGGAGAAAGAGAGATGCCGAAGGAAGGAGCTGATGTTCTTAAGGCCAGGTCCCCTCCTGACCCAGGTCTATAAACCTCTCACCAGGAGCCCCCAACCCCAGCTGCCTCTGCCCTCACACTGATCTGTTTCCCATTCCCTGCAGCTTCCAATGAAGTTTCTAGAATCTTAGCCCTGAATCCCGGGCTCTTGTCCCAGCATTTTGGCAGAGTATAGGGAAAAGGCAATCCAAGGGTGCCCTCTATTTCCTTCCTTGGCCCTTTAAATGTAAGAAACTGGACTCAGAGGGTACTAGAACCAGGATCCTAGGTTCCAGAGCCCACTGTTTCTAAAGCACCTCCAAGGAAGAGATTTCCAACATCCAGCAGGGAGAGCCGCACCTCGGGAGAGGGCTAGAGTGTGGTGGGGTTATGTCCAGGGATAATTTTCTTCCTCCCCTTATCCCACAGCCCCCGTTTCTTTGTAGGTCTAGAGCACTATGTTGGGGAAGGACGTGTCCTAGACCGTCCCCCAACCACACACCTAATTTACATAAGGCAGAGGTGGGATGGGGTAGGAAATCCCCCAGGGGGCTAGTCTGGTCCTGAAAGTGTTCATGGCCTCTCCCCACCCACCCTCATATGGGAGCAAATGAAGGTGTCTGAGGAAAGGTGATGGTGACAACCACAGGGTCCGAGTGGGTGGATGTGAACGGGGCCTGGAAGAATCCAGAAATTAGGTTAGAACGCGGGGGCTCGACCTCCAGAGAGGGCCCCTGGGCGCTGACACAGCGGCCTCCCGGTTCAGGGTGTTCCCCGCTGCCCCATCTGCCTCCCCCCGCCCCCAGGGTGCCTTTTGAAGCCGGGAGGGGGCTTTGATCTGGGGTCTGCCCGACTCGCAGCTGGCCGGCCAGGTGCGCTGGGGGAGGGGCGGAGGGGCCGACCATCCCCCCGGGCCTCCCCCTCCCCCGGCCCCCTGCACCCCGCCCCCTGCCCCCACCCCCGGGCAAGGAGGCTGTTTCCGGCTGTTGCAGGAGGGCACCCGAGCACCCCGACTCCACGCCTTGCAGCTGTTCCCCAGCTGCCCGGCCCCACCCCAAAGACAGCTGGGAGAGAGGCTGGGGGCGGGGAGCGGGGCGCAGCTGCTCGGCTCCGGGGCAGGGACCGGGGAGGGCGGCGACATGAAAGAGCCTGGACCCGCCGGGGTGGCGGGCGAAGGAAGCCCCCAGGCGGTTGCCTCCCTGCGGGCTCCGCACATCTGGCCCACAGGAGCCGTCAGTGGGGAAGGGAGACGCGCTCCGCTCCTGACCACCCAGCCCTGCCTAGAAGGGGGAGGAGCGATCACCTCCCCGGCGGGCGGGGACGGGAGGGCACGGCCGGGCGGGGGCTGGGAGAGCAACATCTCGGAGTCTGAGCGGTTAGCCGAGGGAGGCACAGGGCGCGCCTGTGGCTGTGAGAGGTGTCCTGAGTGTGCAGGGTGAGGAAGGCCCCCACGCCTTCTCCAGCTGGCCCTGTTCCTGGGGCACCTCCAGCTTTCCTGGCCTCCTCTGCCCCTGACCCTTTTGGGAGGTGGGTGACAGCTGCTCCTGCAAAGCCAGGGACAGCTGGGTAGCTGGGGACAGCTGGATGGGGTGAGCGTCTCCCGGCTTCCCTGGCTGCCCAGGCACTCCAGGCCATACTACACAGTTAGCTGCTTGGCCTACAGCCTATGTGCCTGGGTGTCTATTTGCTGGGGTGGGCTTTCAGAGCTGGAACCTGGTGGGGTTCAAGCTCATGGCGCTACCACCAGTCTCCCCTCCATATCCCAGTTTCATTGATGTACCTGGAGAAAGAACCTCTTCCATCAGCTAAAACAAAACTAGGCCAAGTGGGAAAGAAAGCTTTCTGTCTTGGCTCCCAACTCCTGGAACAGAAGATGTCCCAGAGTTCCTGACAACCAGAGAAAGCGACAGTGAGTCAGGAGCAGATGTGAGTGGAGTTAAATGTCTATCTGTCCACCAGCCCCTGGCCCCAGGCATCCTTCCACCCTGGGTTGGAAGGGCACTGTGCTCTATCCATCTGCCTCCCCTCAATAGCCCCAAACAGGTGCAGGGGAAGAGAAAGGGGCAGGCCAGCTGTTGTCATCATGCTCCTGGCTCTGGCTCCTTGCCAAACTGGGGAAGGGGGAGAAGTGAATCAAGGGTCCACCCACCCCCACACTGAGTCATTTTCTACTCCCACAGGATGGGAAGATGGAGGCACTAGACCAACACTTTTGTCTGGCCAGCCCGACTGGCGGGGGGACATGGACTGACCATGTCCTCCAACTTGAGTGCTTATTTTTCTGAGAAGAGGGGTGACTAAGAGTCAGTGAGGGTTGGACCCCTGGTGCAGGACTTACCCATAGTTCCCTGTCTTGCTCTAGGCTTTCTGGGGTGGGAGGCATTCAGGCTCAGATTCTACCCAGACAAGGGGAAAGAGAATTAGGCACCCAGGAAAGGTTGACCCTCCTACTTTACACATAAGCAGATCCATGCAAAGTGTTAGGCAACAAACCAGAGATCCAGCAACCCCCTCACACCGCTCCTGCTCCAACAGAGGAGGGCTTGGTGTGCCCCAGCCCCTCCTTCCAGCCCACGGGTCCCTGAGACAAGCAGGTCCCTGGCCAGTCCCTCATGGCAGCACTTCTCAAACCCCAGGATGTGTCAGAATTACCAGGGGGTTAAAAATGCAGATTACTGGGAATTCCCTGGTGGTCCAGTGTTTTAGGACTCCGTGCTTCCACTGCAGGACTGCAGGGAACATGGGTTCGATCCCTGGTTGGGGAACTAAGATCCTGCATGCCGTGTGGTGTGGCAAAAAAACAAACAAACAGGTTCCTGGGCCCTCAGTGACTCCCTCTAAGTCCAGGTAGGGCCCCAGGATTCAGCCCTTTTAATAAGCTCCCAAGCATGCTACTCTTTGAGAAGCTCTGCCAAAGGGGATGAGGGTAGGATGTCTTTTTCACCTTGTTACCCTAGCACTGTGCCTCCCAGAGCACAGGATTTTCCTGCCTGCCCTCCCTCCATGCTTAGGGGCAGGGGCTAGAGCCCAAGTTACCAAAGGAAGCATGGAGCTGAGTGACCCTCCCTGCTCCCCTCCCCCAATGGGGGCCAAGGCTGAGTTAGACTAAATTCCAAGATAGGGTCTGCTCTACTTCTGTGCCCTTGGCCCTACACAATGCCTGACGCTTAGCATGTGCTTAATAAATATTTGTGGACTGAAGGAGGTAAACTCAGCAAGACTCACGGAAAGGTATTTCTTCCTTTGTCTGTCCTTGCTAAGAGCATGTTGGCAGAAACTCAGAGATGCCGGGGCCCATGCGGCCGGAGGCTGGGCCTAGGAGGCCCTCAGCAAATATTTGCCAAATGAACCCAAGGCTGAGACCAGACGTAGTTAGTGCCTGACGAACTGACATTCACAGGCCTGGAACAGGCTAAACCCCGGAGAGAATCAAGGCAAGGAGGGCAGGGGCTTCCATCCCTAGAGGGGCCCCTCCCCACACCAACGCCTGAAGACCCCAGGCCTGGGGGAGTTAGGGGTAAGAGGCGAGGCAGGGAGTGGGACTGCGCCATTATGTTTATTAGAAGGTTGGATTTCGGTGTGTGCTCTAGACAGATTACAGAATAAATACCTGCACCTTGAGAACAGGAAGTCCACGATTCATACAAAGTGCTCACTACAGGAAGTCGCTGTGTCAAAATCCAGGCAAGGACCCAACTCCGGGCAGCCCCTCCTCTCCTGCTGACCTCAACAAGGGCTGTGCTATGGTTTTTTATTATTTCTCTTATTTCTCTTTATTATTATTAATATTATTATTATTTGCTTTTGCTGTGGTCACTATCATTGGCAAGGTTCCTTTCCCCTTTCCTGGACATGGGGGTTCCTGTCTTTAAGATTCCATTCTGAGGCTGAAGGTGCCAAAAGCTGCTTGAGAAGTGGCCTTTGAACTCCGTCTGGGAGGATGGTGAGAAGGAAGCAGGAGAAATCATTCTTGGTTTTAAAAAAAATTAAAAAAAAAAAAAGCCCCACAATCTACAGGTCTTTCCTTATTTAGTCAGTGATCAAACTGCCCAGAAGAAAAACAAGAGGAGAAGCAGGCCAGTGGACACTGGTCCCTCCTCCCAGGGCTGGCTGAGGAGAGTTGGAAACTGCCCCTACCCCCAAGGCTTTAGGGGAAGCTGAGGCTCCTTCCAGCCACGGGGGTGGGTAGGGGAAGGAGTGGAAGAAAAAGGGAGAGACACAGAGAGAGAGAGCTCAGCGCCTTGAGGTAGACGCTTTCCCAACTCCAGAGCCACCTGCAGCCCCAGCCCAGGCCAGCTCCCACTGTCACCTCTGAGTCCAGGAGATTCGTGATAAAAAAAAAAAATCAAAACAAGCCCCAAACAAAACAAAATCCAAAAGGAAAAGACTTGGGGAAATGAAGGAGGAAGGGAGGGAGGACAGGAAGGTAGAAGGGCAGGTCTCTGGATGCGGCATTCCCGAGCCACTGGGGGCTGAGGCGGGGAGATTCCCCAGTGCCCCACCGCCCGCATAGCGTTAGCTCGTCACGTAGTGTTTGGTGGACGGCTGCCCATACACCCTGTAGAAATCCTGGTGGCCAGGCTGCTGGGAGGCGTCAAGCCAGTCTCTGACCGCCAGGCTGGGAAGGGACTGGGGGACGGAAGGTGTGGGCGGGAGCGCGTGTGAGTACTCCTGTGAGGGCACTGTCCAGGGGAAGTGGCCGGAGCGGGGGTAGGGCTGGTGGCCACCATGGTTGGCCACGGAAGAACAGTAACAGTTGTCCACAGAACAGACGAGAATCTTGCGGCCCCCATACTGGGGGAGCATGGGCTGCTGGGCGGCGGAGCCATTGGGATACTGCGATGGGGGGAACACAGGACTTGAGTGCACTGGTTGGGCGCCGCCCGGCAGGGCCACCAAGTGCTGCGTGGAGCTGCAGGGGCCCAGGGGCTGCCCTGACTGGCCCTCGCCGCTGGCTGTGCTCGCTGCCCCATACTGGCTGCCCACGGGGCCCGACGACGTCTCTAGGAAACTGGCCTCAGGGAAGGCCGTCGAGTGCTTGCGCTTTTCCGCCCCAGAGCTGCTCACACCACAAGGGTACAGGGGGACGCTCTGCAGGAAGGGCACCGGTGTGCTGAAGGGGCCTGTGGAGAGTTTGGGCAAAAGTCGCTAAAGCCCCTGTCCCAGGCAACCCAGGCCTCCTCTCCCCCGGGGACATTTTCCATCTGTAGGACCAAGCACAACACATCATGCACCATCCTGATGCTCACTACTCCGTTAGCAAGCAGATACTATTATCATTCCCATCTTACAGCTGAAGAAGCTGAGGCTCAGGGAGGTACTACGGCTTTGCCCAAGGCCCCACAGCTAGAAGCAGCAAAGCAGGGATATGAGGAAAGGTCTATCTGACTAGGCCAGGCTGCCTGTCAGAAGGAAGGTTCTGGCATTTACCCCTGCCCAAAGGGTTCTCTCCCTTTGATTGAGGATCCCACCCTCACCTTCTAGCATCTTGCGTAGCTGCTTCTCCTTCTTGGCCACCTCGTTCAGGAAGAGCTTGGAGTTCAAGTGGCCGATCTTAGGGGGAGAAAGGCTGCTGCCTGTACAGGTCTGGGTCCTGGGGGCAGTGGACGGGGCATCTGCTGTGAGGAGGTATCACCGGTAAGCCCGCCCTACCTCCCCGCAGTGGGCCTGGCCATTCCTGCCCTCCCCCACGTGTGTTCCCCTGAGGGCTGGTGGCCATCTGCTCACCTGTCCATTAGGATTTTCACAGACTTGGTGTTCTAGAGGGAGAGAAAAGGGTTAGTCAGTGGGAAAGGCAGCATGAGAGAGGGGAAGATGGAAGCTGCCCCATCCTCTCGCTCCCCAGGCAGGGCTGACCTTCTGATTCTGGCCAGAGTGTGGCAGGGGCAGGGGGTGGGGTGCCTCCATTTTCAGAAGATTGAGCACTTGCTATGTGACAGACAATACTGTAAGTGCTTTCTATACATCTATCACCTTATCTAAACAACTACCCTAGGAGGAAGGTTCTTCAAGCACTCAATCTTTTACCCAAAAAAATCTTTGGGGCAAGATGTGTTTTGGAATTTGGAATTTTTTGGACTTTAGAAGGGAAATATGATGCCCGTATCATAATATGTGATTACAGTGTAGGACACTGTAATCTAACACATCAATGTTTCTGCAGTGATATGTTTTTTTCTTTTTTTTGGCCACGCCTCGTGGCATGTGGCATCTTAGTTCCCTGACAAGGGATCGAATCCCTCCCCTGCACTGGAAAAGCGGAGTCTTAACCACTGGACTGCCAGGGAAGTCCCAGCAATATGTTTCAATATTTGTACCAAGTAAGATCAATAAAGGCCATAAATTGCCAGCATCAGTTCAGGTCAATTTTCGCTGTTAAATGAGCTGCCAGAACTTTTTTCTTTCAGTTTTCAGAGATTTCTAAAAATTTGGCATTGCGGATAACAGATAATAGATCTGTATTATCAACCCCATTTTATAAGTGAGGGAGCTGAGGCCTAGGGAACATATATGACTTGCCCAAGGTCACAAAGCTAGAAGGAACAGGGTGGGAGGGTTTTGAATCCATGAAGGCTGGCTCCAAAGCCCTGTGAGCATACTGGTGGGGGGAACCAGTTGGGGAGCAAAGCATCACAGACTCCAATTTAGAAATGCCCCTTGGGGCTTCCCTGATGATGCAGTGGTTAAGAATCTGCCTGCCGGGCTTCCCTGGTGGCGCAGTGGTTGAGAGTCCACCTGCCAATGCAGGGAACACGGGTTCGTGCCCCGGTCCGGGAAGATCCCACATGCCGTGGAGCGGCTGGGCCCGTGAGCCATGGCCGCTGAGCCTGCGTGTCCGGAGCCTGTGCTCCGCAACGGGAGAGGCCACAACAGTGAGAGGCCCGCGTACCGCAAGAAAAGAAAAACAAAAGAAAAAGAATCTGCCTGCCAATGCAGGGGACACGGGTTCGAGCCCTGGTCCGGGAAGATCCCACATGCCGCAGAGCAACTAAGCCCGTGCACCACAACTACTAAGCCTGCGCTCTAGAGCCCGTGAGCCACAACTACTGAAGCCTGCGCACCTAGAGCTCATGCTCCACAACAAGAGAAGCCACCGCAATGAGAAGCCCGCACACCTCCATGAAGAGTAGCACCCACTTGCCACAATTAGAGAAAGCCCGCGCACAGCAACGAAGACCCAAGGCACACACACACACAAAAAAATCTTAAAAATGCCCCTTGGGTCCCACCAGCCGGTCCCAGGCCCAGCCCACCTTCATGAAGCTGACGTCCTCCGTCTTGTCGAAGAGCAGCTGCAGGGAGCCCAGCAGCTTCTTGGCCTCCTGCATGCGCTCCCCGAGATGCAGCGCCTGCGCTGCGTTCTCACTGCAGAACTTGGCCTGGGCCTTGTCCAGGACCTCCACCGTCTGCCGCAGGTCCTCATCCAGCAGCTGGTGCAGCTTCTCGTATTGCAGCCGCACTTCCTCCTTCAGTTGGCTCACCTTCTCCTGCGGGCACCGGGGCAAGAGTGGGTGGGCAGGTAAGTACTGGGGACTTCTGGCTGCTGCTCCTGCCTGTCTCACATCCTGGATGGGGGAGTCTGGGACCCCAAAGCCCCAGGCTGCCCAGGGCTCCCAAAGGCAAAGTCTGACCTGCCAATCCCCCATGGGTAGCACAGGGCTCTGGACAGGTACCCTGGCACCAGTGGGGGGCGCATCCACTGACGTTCATTGAATGACTGACCAAGGGATTCCGGCATAGAGCCGACCACGCAAGAGATCCTAGCCCAAGGCCCAGTACCCAAGCCGCCCCCCACCTCATACCATGGGCTTGGGCTTAGCTACCTCCACCAGGCGCTTGTCTGACTCGAGTTTGTACAGTTGGTCCTCAATGTCCTGCTCTCGCTCCTCCAGCCGGTCCTGCTGCTTCATCAGCATCTTCTGCAGAGACAGTTGGGGTAGGGGCATCAGAGGAATGGGTGAACACCATCCTTACCTCTACAGAACAGACTCATCCTATGGATCCTTTTTCCCAGATGACCTAAAATTTCTGCCCCCCAACCCCTTCTGGCTCCCGTGCAATCCCAGGGGCCTGGTGACAACTGTCTGGCCAGCCTGTCCCCAGGACGAGAAAGCCTGGAATGCTTCCCACACATATCTAAACCATAAACTTTCTGAGGGCAGGGTCACGCCTGCCTCTGTTGTAAGCGCTTTTCCTGTATAGACTTATCTGATCATTCTAGTAATGCTATGAGATACATACTATTATTATCCTCATTTCAGAGAAGAGGAAACCAGAAAGGTTAAGTAATTCATCCAAAGTCACACAGCTAGTGTCAGAGCTGGAATACAAACCTAAATGACCAGGTAGTAGGGTCTGTTCTTATCCAAGTCATGCTGCCTCTCTCTGGGGAGCACCATCTCAGAAATGATGCAGAGGGTCACACAACCTTCCCGGGTCTCACAGGCCCTCTGGCCCGGTCCAGAGATCTCACCTGACGTTTGCCTTACACTTGGGGGGCATCAAGCCAGCCAGCTGCCCCCTTGCTTGCTCTTGATGCTGAGAGCTAGGCCTCTGAAGTCCTTGCTAACTCCCTCAACCCCTCAGTTGGACCTGGGTGGAAAGGAAACTCTGGCTCTCCTTAGACCCAAGGTCAGTCTGCTGGAAGGTTCGGGACCATGCTGCTCTTCTCAGCCCTTAATCTTCTGTCCCTACAACCCCTCTCTTCCCAGACCTGCCTATCCCAGCTGTTCCAGCCGCCCTGTCATCCTCCCTTGCCAGATACACCTCTTCAAACAGGGTCTCTCTCCTGCCCAAGATCCCTCGATGACCCCTCCTTCCAAACTCTGTAGGCTTTCTTACTTACAACCTGACTCTCCCAGCCAGGTGGGCTGGTATCCTGTCCCTGACACTGCAAATCCGAACTCCCTACACCCAGCTGATGTTTTTCTGCAGCCCACAGTGCCTTCTCCCCATCCCTTGTCTATCCTTCAAAGCCCAGCTTAAGGTCCTGCTCCTCTAGGAAACTTTCCATGGCCCCTGCTCGGAGTCTGTGCAGGACCCTCCCTGTCCTGGCCATACGAGGGGCTGTCACATTCTGCTCTCCCTCTGTAGCTGTGCTGTCCAATACAGTAGCCACTAGTCACATGTGGCTATTTCAAGTTAGTTAAAAATAAATTAAATTGAACATCAGTTCTTCTGCTGTACCAGCCTCATTTCAAGTGCTCAATAGCTACATGTAGCTAGTGGCTAATGTACTGGACACCACAAACACAAAACGTGACCATCTCACAGAAAGAGCTATAGGAAAACACTATTCTATAGTCTGACCAACTGTGGTCTAATCTCCAAACAAAACTCAAGACCTCTTGAAAACAGGGCTTTGCTGCTGTATTTTTCCACTTCCCTTCCTAGCCGGGACCCACAAAGGCCCCAGCACCCTACAGATGCATAATGTGTTTCCTGAATAAACCCATGGGTTTTGCACACAAAACAAGGTTTGCAAAGCAGATTGCACAGAACCTAGCTCACAGTAAGTGTCCACTCAGCAAGAAGTGGTTCTTTTTCTTCCTCTATGTGGACTTCAAAGGGACCCTCAAGTTTGACCCACACCCCCACTCCTGTCCATACTCAGCTGGCTTCCAAAAGACAAGCTGCCACCAATCCCTTCCTTATTCCCCCAAACCCCTTTACATATGGGGAAACCAAGGCCAGCCAAGAGAGTTCAGTGACCCTGTTTTGTGTTGGTGGCTACCCTAGAACCAGGGCCCTAGGGACAGGAGGAGGTAGGGGGTGAGGCTCTCAGATTCTGAGCTGGGAAAGCCTGGGGCACCCCGGGCACCCCGCACCCCCCCCCCCGCCAACAATTTGACCTTTCAGTGACCCAGGACAGTACCTTAAGAGACAGCCCTAGGAGATGTTGCCCTGGGTGTCCTTCTTCTTCCCCCCCCCCCCCCCCCCCCCCGCCAACAATTTGACCTTTCAGTGACCCAGGACAGTACCTTAAGAGACAGCCCTAGGAGATGTTGCCCTGCCCCCCCACCCCCAGCCCAACATGCACATGGATCTGCTGCCAGCCTGAGAGTCAGAGCCTGTAGAGAAACACAGCTGGCTGGGCGCAGGAGCAGAGGTAGTCACACACCCTCCCTTCCTGTGAAACTGCCCCAAGTCACGTGAAAAGGGCAGGCGGCACCCCACAGTATGGCCCACCTACATGCATACAACTGCACGTATACACACAAGCACACGCCACCACGTGGGCCCTGAGACCCCCTCGGGCACACTGTCACACACTCACAGCCCTGCACAGTGAAGGCCGGCCCTCCTGAAGGCCCCCGATGACTAAGGGAGGCCTGCCTGAAGGCAAGGTGGCCAGGGTACCACCAAAGGATATGAGACCTTTTCACCTCCCCTGTTACAACTGACCCTCAATTTTTTGCCTGCTGGCTGCCTCGTCCCCACACTCGGGAAGCAGTCCCTCCAATTTGGATGCATCTCAGGCTCCAGGCCACTCCTGCCTTCCCAGTGCCCAGGATATCCGAGAGCCCAGGCCCCAGCCACACACACATCTGTGCACCACGGTCTCCTGGCCCAACTACTTTTCATGACCAAACCCACTGGTATCAGAGTAGAGGTGCACCTGGAGCTAAGTCCCAGACGAGGGGCAGGAGAGAGGCAGCCCCAGATAGGATCTCAGCCCCACTTCCCTCAGAGGCCTGGAATGGGGCTGTTCACTCCCACCCTCCAGGCCCGTGGGAGGCCTCTGTCCCATTCCCCTGCAACCCGTTCAGGGAGTTAGTTCATGGCTGACCCCTCAGGGCACAGCCAAGGGAGGCACTTCCTGTCTTGTCCTGGGGAGTGGGGCTCACCCCCTTCCGCCATCTAGGCTTTTCTCAGATCCTTTCCTGGCAGCACGGCCACCCTGGGACCCTGAGGTGTCTTCCCTTGGCTTCCAGGTCCAGGTCCCGGTTCCTGCCTGCCCAGAGCCCTCTGGGGTGGAGCCCAGTCCAGGTCTAGCAAAGGCAGTGGCCACACTGCCTAGCAGGTGGCTGGGTTTCATTGGCTCTCCCCCAGCTCAGAGGCCATTGGGCTTCTGTCTCCACTACAGAGGGAAGGGAAGGGCCAGGAATAGGAAGGAAACTGGCCAGGGAATGCCAGCCAGAGAGGGCTGGGCGGGGGGCCCACCATGGCCAGCTCACCCTTGCAGGAATGGTGATCCCTCGGGGCTAGGTGCTCTTAATCCTGCCACAGCCAACACCGGGGGGGGAAGCAGGGAGCGGGGGGACACTGCTACTCAGGCACTGGAAAATCGGGGTGGTGGGGAAGAAGGGAAATATCCACTTGCTGCCCCTTTATTACCCCTCACCTTGATTCCACCAATGAATGAATCAGGTTGCTGAGAAGCTGGGAGATGGGGAACAGAGGAAGCAAGGACCCCTCCCCACTACCAGCAGCCTCCTTTCCATCCCAACCTCCCAGAACTACTGAGAGCTGAGGCTCCACTGCCCACCTGGGAAAAACCCACAGCTGAGAGATTTCCCAGCTTGATTCAGGGCAAGGCCTCTCAATGTGGGGGAGGGCACCTTACAAACTGCTCCCAGCCCAGAGTGGGTCATCTGGATTGTGGCACACCTCAAGTGTGTAGGTAGAGTGGAGACTAGAATGGTCTAGACTAGGAGCACTTGAGGGACCAGGCCTCCAGCAGGGGCAGGGGCAATTGGAGGCCCAGCCCCACGCTACACCTGCTGGCCCAAGTGGGACCTGCTTACTGCTGTCCCTATCCTTCCCTAAGGACCTAAGGCCTTCCACAGTCTGCTCCTGGGACTGTGAGGGCAAAAGCATCAGGAAGACTTGGGGGCACACCATTCCCACCCCTCCGGGACCCTCATATCTGTCGCCTAATGTTCTTGACTCTGCCTTGAGCTGCTCCCTCCAAAGCTCCTCCCAGCCTGGAGAGGGGGCAATCATGAGCCCCTCACATTCCTGCCCTGGGAAAGCCTCACTCACAGCCCTCTGGAGACTGACTGGCCAGGCCCAGCTGGCATTTTTGATGCCAGACTGGACTGGGCAGACGGGTAAGGCCATTGGGACTCTAGGCTGTATAAAAGTTAAAAAACGATAATAATAAAACCCTCAAGTCAACCTTGGAGAGAAGCAAAGTCAGGAGGGAGCAGGGCCCCAGGACCTGGGCCAGAGGCAGACCTCAGTTTTGTAGATGGGACCAGAGCTGGGACCAGCAGCCCCTGTGATGGGGTGGAGGCGGGAAGAGGGCACTGGGCTGCTGGAGTACCTCTGCCTGCTGGGATCCCTGCCCAGATGACTCTCATGCCAGCTCCAGCTCTGGATGAAGCCCCCACTCAGAGCTACCCCGTCCTAACCTCCTCCCAGGCTGCCAAAGGCGGCCCCCACTCTCCCACATAAGCCCTTGTCCCAGGAGTACATCAGCCTCCCCTCTCCCTGGGCCATAGCACTCCCTCCTGGTCTCAGCCTTAGTTGTCCCTCCCCATGCCTCAGCCCCTACCTGGGGCTACCATGTGGACCCCCAGGCTGCGGGCAATCACAGACCCAGAGAGAAGAGGCTACAGAGCAGGAACCAGGGACAAGGAGAAAGGCAGCACCTCGGAGGCAAAGCCCCGGCAGACCCCAGAGAGGGTTTCCCAGCTGCAGAGTGGAATTAGCTTTTGCCATGCAGAGCGCACTGCTCTGGGGCAGCAGAACAAAGAGGCGAGAGAGAAAGCCCCCCTTTGTCTGTGTTTGAATGCCAGGCCAGCCGGGAAGGAAGGCTTTCCCAGAGCCAGGGATGAGGCCAGCCAAGCCTGCCTGCTCGGTCCAGGGCTGGGGCCCAAGCCGGGCTCCCCTTCTTCCTATGACCACCCCAAATGCCTACAACACAGCATCGCAGGATCCATCCGGGCTTCCACCTACAAAGCCCACTACAGGCAACAAGCTCACCGAAGGTGAGTCCCCTCCCCTCCCCAACACCTCCACCAGGTGAGAAAGTCACACCCACCAACCAACCACCATCAGGCAGGCACACACTAGCGCTGGCAACGACAGGTATGTGTGCACACTCAACTTCAACTCGCAGGTGAACGGCAAGCAGGGCACCCTCCTCTCTCTCTCTCTCACACACACACACACACACACACACACACACGTGCACGTCTTCCCGACCCCATAGCCACACACAAGACAACTCCGTAATTAAGTCACTCACACTGCACCTTCTCAGAGATACACACATTGAGATACAAAAAAGTAGTCCCATGTGAGATGCACAACCAGACGCACTGGTTACACACGCATACACACACACCTGCAGACAGATCTGGATGCACAGGCACCCAGAGCTGCAGCAGGCAGAGTCATCAGCAGGGCGTGCGTGACAGGCGCCTGGTCTGGCTGTGTCAGCAGGATCCTGGGGTGGAGGTGGGGGGCTGGGCCTCCGCCTCAAGCTCCTCTGCCAGGGGCCAGGGAGGAAGGCCAAGTCAGGCCCCCTCTTCCCGATCCTTCAAGATGGTCAAGGAAGGAGCAGCCACTTGACCCTCCCACCTCCCACCCGAGACCTCAGGATTATGGTCGGGGACAGCGGAAAGCGGTGGGGTCCGTACTGCCTGAGTCAGGCTGCAGCCACAGCCTGGCTATAGCTGGGCCAGGGCAGCCCTCACTCCCAGAGCCCACCCAGAGACAGACACATGGGGTGGAGACCTAGGATCCCCTCCAGGGTCCCAGGGCAGCCCCTCCGGCCATGGACAATGTGAGCAGGATGACCTCACCCCCAGCAGCTGCAAACCCCAAACTGGCCCAAGAAGTGGGATCCTGTCCCCAGAGAACATCTCCTCTCAACTCTAAACCTTCGAGAATGCAAGGAACAGGGTCCTGCACACATTCCAACCTGTCTGGGGTACTAGGAATGACACAGAGGCACAACTATGACCTAAACACACACACACACACACACACACACACACACACACACACCCTGCATAGCCCTTTACAGATATAACTAGGCCTTATCTTGGATCTTCTTTCTATGTTGAAGGAAGTCATGAGATAGAGGTGCTCCCAGCTCATACCAGCACCGAGTTCCTCACATGAACCCCTAAACCCAGGGGATGGAAGAGGGTTTGACCACCTAGGGCCGCCACACCTGAGTCCACCTGGATATCCCAATGTTGAGCCCTTAGCCTCCCATAGCCCCAAGGGAGAACACATTTGGGGTCTAGGCATGTCTTAGAGTGTTCTCTGCGGTCTACCCAATGGGCATCCGGGCCTCATGGCAACGTGGCTTAAACATTGGCTTCCCAAGGGCAGAGTGGGGCAAGGACTTCGAAGGCCTGACTCTGAGACCCCCTGCTAGTTCCCTGCTGGGCGGAAGCCCTGCTTGC